GTTCATTAATGTTGGCATACGGCAAGCGCAAGCCAGAGTTAGCTACAGCTGATTGGTTGATGAGTTGCTCCAGTAGCGAAGCCCCTGCAGTAGAAATGTATCGATTTCAGAAGAGCTTGGAGGAAAAAAGGGAGGAGCTAACTGAAAGAAGAAGATTCGACATTTTAAAATATGACCCAGTCTTTAGCAGGGTGAGCTAAAGGGAAGAAGTCTCTGGCTATGTGAGAACTGGAGTGAGGAGGTTCCTATTCTAAGTTAAAGTCTTCAACCTTGATATTTAAAGTGTTAAGAACCATTTTGAATTAGAAGCTAGCCTGTGAGCTAGGGGAAAGAAAATCCCAGTATAGGATTGTGCCTGAACAAAGTAATGTTCAGTGGCAGAATTGAAGTAATAAGAAGGATAATCTGTGCACAAGTCATCAGTCAGTGGGACTGAAGAGAAAAGTGTTCTTTGAGAATACGTTTACAGTTAAACTATTGATAACTAAAGAATAAACTATAAGATAAAGATATCCAGTCAGGAGAGTGAGAAAGAATTACATTTTAAAGAGAAGAAAGTTACCAAACCAAGTTGACATAAGATAAGCCATTCTGAATGTTGTATAGTTACAGTTTTAGTTATTCATAATAGTAAAAGCCAATTGTAACAATATCCAGGAAGTACTGTGAAGAAAAATACTATGTAACCATTATGCTTTATTTGCCTGAGAGTCCATAAATAAACATTACTTTGTTCAATTACTACATTAAAGACTGGTGTCAAATTACTGAACTGAAGATATTCTACAGGAAGACGTCTGAAGATCATATTGTAGCTGAATACAGTTTACAGCATTGGGTAACATGTTAAAGTGACACATACTAACATTTTAAAAGTAAAACCTCCTGCAAACAGATATAATAAATAAGTCCTTATCCTCACCCCCCCCCCCCAACATGTTTGCTGTATACATGAAGTTTTGTGAGTAAACCAACTATGTTACTTTTAAAGAAGACTGTTTATTTTGTCTTTTGAGAGCATGGTTTAAAGGTAAATATGTTTTAAGGCAGGGTAGATGTTTTTGGGCAACTAAAGGATCACTTCTGAAACTCTGCAGAATATATATATATTGTGCATTGGCATGTCTTTGTCCCTAGCAGTGCAAAGACATAATTAGGTACATCAGTTAAACAGCTAAGAGACCTAGTTGCCTTGCATGAATGCTGGTGAATGCCATTTCCCCAAAAAGGTTGTGACTTCTAACAAGGTCATGTCTTTCCTGTGACCAGTGATTTTTCAAAGAGGTTATGAATCTCATTTCCAAAATAGTTGTGAAGATTAACATTTCCCAAAACTTTTACCAGTCCAAATTAAACAAGAGATATTGCTCAAAGATGTCAATGCCTGATCAAAAGCAACACAACCAAATACTGGGGAAGAGTAGAGGACAAGTATGACTAGCCTGCTGTCTAATCATGCAAACAGACTCAAGCTAAAAGGATGTTCTGCTGCTGATATGCTCAGATGTTAAAGTTCAAAGCTGCATAATGGATATAATATTAACATGGAATGTGAGAAGCATGAACTACACTCAATCAAGGAACCTATAGCCCTGAGTATGCAGGACCTGAACATTATTGTTGATGCCAGAGTGTCATTCAGAGTGTCATCATATGTTGAAAACAACTTGACAGCTATTAACAATAGTAGCAGAAGAGATTCTGGGCTTCTTATTAACCAGTGTTGGGGATGTGGAGACATAACAACAACACCAGCAACAGACTCAAATTTGCTATAGACAGGATCACAACAGGATCACAGCAGTACAATTACAAAAACTGATATACTTGAAACATCCTACATTATTTGGTGATGCCTCACTGATATCTAGATTCTTAGAATGTGAATCACTGCTAATCTAAAACTCCAGGCAATAATACCTGGTAGTCAGTGAACTTTAGATAATAATACTGTAGTGTTTTATGAACAAGACAAAAGCATATACAACAGTATTTGAGATGTTCTGTTGCAAATAACTGTCAGAAAACAAGTCAATATTAAAGAATCTCAGCTCATTATTATTTCTTTATTTTTCTGCAATCAGGAGTGTGTGTGTGTTTGTGTGCATCCCTTCAAGTAGATCCTCTGCCATTTCCCTCCTCAGCCAATTTTCCTGTAACTTTGTCTTACATTCAGAGCTGTATATTATTTCAGATTTTATTTAAGAAGACTTTTTTCATACTAAATTTCTTACAGAATTTCTTTTTCTACTGCTATTATTTATGTTGAAAAAGGATTTAAAAACTTTTTAAAGGTAGTTGGGTTGCTGTGAGTTTTCCAGGCTGTATGGCCATGTTCCAGAAGCATTCTCTCCTGATGGCACTTCACCAAATCATGTTACAATATATTGTTTTACTATCCATTAAGAGCCTTGTGGGACAGTAGCAAAAAGATATAACTTTCCACCACTTTTTTTTCAATTTACTCTGCATTGATTTTTTTGAGTATCTGTTCTGTACTGCAAAAGACTTGTTTTCTTTCTATGTTTTCTTTTGAGGGGGCAGGGGACAGGTGATCTTAGTCCTGGAAGAGCTAAGTAGCAAAAATATGATAGAAAAGGGGAGAAATTGTCATCTGAATGCACTTGAAAGTGTTCCTAGGCAAGGCAGTCAGACCTCAAGCTTATAGGAATATTTTGCAAGAATTTAATGATCTCAGAGCTAGATATGAAAGCAATGATAGGAGGTGCAGAAGTACAGTTTATGGGCTAAATCAATTCTTCTATAGGAAGAATTGATTTAGCCCATACATTTCTCCTACATTTCTTCTGTAGGAGAAATGCCTCTAGAACATGGCCATATAGCCCGAAAAAACCCACAAGAACTGAATTCTTCTATACACTGTGAGTCATACTGGAATAACTATACAATTATACAAATACAAATTTACATGTCAATTATTACAGAAAAAGAATGCCGCCATCACAAAAATATGAGTGGTCATTAGAGTGGACAAAGAACTGATCAAGTATAATCAGTTATTACATTTGACAGCTTTGGAAGAACATGGGGCACACAAAGTAATTAACATAAGGCAGATTTTTTTTTTTTTTAAAAAAACTTTCTGAGAAACAGCATGAGTGCCAGTATTCTAAAACAAAAAATATTCCAATATATAGATTGGGAACACTGAGGCTCAGAAATGTTTCAATTATACACATTTTTCTTGTCGTTACTGTTAAATGAGAGAACTGCAAATCTGTCAAGATACATGAGTGGTTCTAAATGTTGATCCTTCAGATGCTTGGAACTCCAATCTAAGAAATACTGGGTATAAACCATACTGATGAGGATGTCTGGGAGCAGAAGTCAAAATATCTGGAAGACCAAAGGCTGGGGAACCAATGATCCAGTGTAATGGCCTATGTATCTTCATGCTATAAAGTACCCAGTCCATGAAAGCTTATGCTAAAAATTCTTTTTTTCAGTCACCCTCTTCCACTAATTTCAGCTCTCACTGCAACATGTTGCACTCTGTAATAATAATAATAATAATAATAATAATAATAATAATAATAATAATAATAATAATAATAATAATCTTTATTTATACCCCACCACCGTCTCCCCGAAGGGGACAGGGCGGTTCACAGAAGCACTCCAAGTGCAGCATATATACAAAAATACATAAGTGTATACACAGTGACATAGGTGACACTAATAAAATTGCAAAAATTATATAAAAATTATAAAATGTCCTAAAACACAATAGAACCTGTGAATAAATCTGGCTATCAGCAGAAACCAAGATACACAGTGGCAGAATCGGTGGACCACTGAGCTGACCATAAATTAAACAAGGTCAAAGGCCTGTTTGAAGAGCCATGTTTTTAAACTTGCCCAAAAGGCTTGAAGAGTGGTGGCTAATCTAATTTCTTTAGGGAGGGTATTCTAGAGCCAGGGAGCCACCACTGAGAAGGCCCTCTCTCTCATCCCCACTAACCATAATTAAGATGGTGGTGGGACTAAGAGAAGGGCCTCCCCAGAAGTTCTCAATGCCCATGCATTGGCTACTGTGACCACTGTTTTCGTTTTGATTCTTAACAGACCTTTTAGAATAGTGCCTAAAGGTGAATTTGCTGATCCTCCATCCTTAGGCATGGAGCTCATCTAGGACCCTTTGTATGCAATGGTAATCAGATTGAGTAGTGTACACATTTCCAAAGTGCATTATTTTTTTAAAAAAACTTGTTAAGTTTAGACATTTAAGAAGGAATAGCACTGAATTTGCATCAGCACTGTACAGTGTTTCCTCACTTATCGTGGGTGTTACGTTCCAGGACCACCCACGATAAGTGAAAATATAGGGACACTATATTTTAATATTATTTTAATATTTATACATTATTTTAGTAGTTATACACTTTTTAAAGTCTTTATAAACTTAAAATAAACTCTGTTTCTGTTTTACTGAGTACTCCTCCTCCCCTTCCTCCTCCTCCTCCTCCTCCTCCTCCGCTGTGGCTCCCCCCACCCGCCTCCCTGTCAGTGAGGTGGCTGCAATGAAGGAAAGGAAAGGAAGCAAGCCCTCCTCACCTTTCCCTTTGCTAGGCGAAGAGAGAGAGAGAGAGAGTGAAGGAAAGACCCTTCAAGGCTGGAGGTAGGGAGGGAGGACTGAGGAGGGAAAGCGCCTCCGAGAGTGGCGGCGGCAAAAACCTGTGAAACAGCAAAAATACCACAATATATATTTTAAATTAATATTTATTTATTGAAAAGCCGCGGAATAGCAAGTCCACTAAAAGCTAACTGCAAACTAGCGAGAGAATACTGTAATATCAAATGGCGTGGCACAATAACTTCACCTCTACTTTCTTGAAACAACAGCAACAATGTAAAGTGGTGATTTTTTTTGCCATAGGCAAAAGTTGGCACAATTCAATGGGGTTATTTTTTTTTTTTTTGCTTTGTTTCAAGAGAGAACATAAAACATATTAGTAATGGCATGTGTGTTATATTTTTAGGCAAGTGGCATGATGGCTAAGGGAACTGATAATGAGATGTGGAATCTTTCATCTCCGACATCACAATCCCTCAATGATGAAGGTAAGCAAACACTCGGTCTCTCCCCTGCCCCATCTATCCATAAACAAACACTAGATATTTTTGGAACACTAAATCATAAGAAGTAAATGTGAATTATCCCAGTTCTCAGCTTAAGTGGACTCGAGAACTCAATCAAAGTTAAGGTGTAAATGAGAAAAGAATAAAAGCACATTGATGACACAATTAAATTCGACGTTTTTGAGAATTAATCACCATGTCAACTATGTGGTGCCATTTCAAGACATTGTATATTTCACCCCAAGGCCCTAGTTTTCCAGTGTATGGAAAACTGTTAACTGAATTGAGCTCAAAGTTATTACAGTGTCTCTAAGATATTCCCCATAAGATAGGAAAGTCCGAGGAGTCAGTGTATCCTTGTGCCTACTTTGTGTTTTTAAATGTCTCAGTAAAGCACGATGGTGATATAATTCGTTCATATTCTGCAGATATTTTATTTGGCCAGAAAAGAAAATAAAGACTTTCTGTATATATTTCAGATTTCAGTATTAATGTCAAAAATACGTAGTATGATTTTACGTAGGATTTGTGCTACATTAGAACAGTTAAAACAAATATCACTTAAGTAAAATAAACATTAAATACTAAATAACCAGAAAAATAAAATAAGATTTAAATACTAAACTAATCTGGGAACCTGCTAAATTAGACAAAGTATGGTTTAAAAGTGACTGCCTTGACTCTGAAGGAGCTGGGGGAGGTGACGGCCGACAGGGAGCTCTGGCGTGGGATGGTCCATGAAGTCACTGAGAGTCGCAAGCGACTGACCGAATGAACAACAACAAAAAATGGTTTTAAAAGAGTTTGGCCATAAAAGCTAAGTAACAGTGTTCATTAGATTCTTACCAGCAAAAGAAAAGAGTATTCCATAATTTGGGAGTCAGTTTTTCTGCCCATAATATAGGCAATAGTACCCTGAACAATCTTGTGGGCACTGTTGTCCATTTTGCTATAATTTTTGCTAAATTGCATCCTTCACTTTTTAAAGATCCAGATAAACCTTTCTGCACAAAAAGGAAATAATAATTGAAGGAACCCACCCACCCCCTGCTAATTGTCACTACAATGCAGATATCATGAATAGGCACTAATGTATGGACAATAGTAGAATATAATCTAATAATGGAGCCCCCAGTGCCACAATGGGTTAAACGTTTGTGCAGACAGGATTGCTGACCAATAGGTCAATGATTTGAATCCTGGGGAGAGAGGGTTGAGCTCCCTCTGTCAGCTCCAGCTCCTCATCCAGGGACATGATAGAAGCCCCCACAAAGATAGTAAAACATCAAAAATCTAGGCAGATGGCCAATTCTCTCACACCAGAAGCGACTTGCAGTTTCTCAAGTCGCTCCTGACAGGAAAAAAAATAATGTAGAATATAATTTCTTATAACCATATAAGATTTTTTTTTATTAATTTATTAAAATATTTATAAACACTCTCTTTAGCTAAGGATCCCTGAGCAGTGAATAATAAAACAGACCTGACTAATATGAATGAAGCATATTACACAATTTTAAGAACTTTAAAAATCCAGTTAAATCTGATCCAAATATTTAAAAATACTTAAAACCAATTACATTTGAAGATTTTTGTAACATTAATTAGGCCCCAAAGACCACATCTTATTAGGCAATGTAATGGCTGCAATTTTGGCACCAGTTGGGCCTCCAAAGGGAGAGTATTTCATAATTGTGTGCAACACATCACTCTGATGGATGAGACCCAGAAAAAACATTTCCAGCTAATCTCAGTTCTTGGACAGTCATAGAGAGAGAATGGCACTCCTGCTATGGTCCACAGCCATTTAGGATATAAAGTGTCATTATTAACACCTTGAATTCAAATGGAAGTATAACGGCAACTAGTGCAAGTCATTTAAAACTAGTGTTATATGAGTTTTCTATGGTGTTCTGATCAACAGTTTAGCTGCTGCATTGTGCATTAGCTGAAGTTCCCATGTTTTCAAGGGCAGCGTCACATAGAGAAGTCTAACTGGCAAATTAACAGTATATGAATTACTGTGGTTAAATTAGCCCTGATGGACCAGTCAGAGCTGCACCCAAGTGTTCCAAGTCTACCTGTATCTCCACAGACAAAGAATTCAGACAGGTAGTTTACTCACTTCCCAGATTCGAGAATCATCAATCCACAGATACTCTGCCTTCTTGGGCTTCAGCTTACTCATCCTCATCCAGCCCAATATAGTATCCATCCAGCTATTGACCCCAAACTTGCAAAACCCCAGTCAACACTTGACACAAGAAGTAGAGCTAAACATCACCAATTTGGCATTCTACTCCAAATTTTAAAACCCCCAAGTATTGACATGAAAGCTTCCTGGTCAGATGCTTTTATCTATCTCTAGCTACTAATGCTTAATCCTACTTGATGCTTAGGGTTTCCGGCAGAAGTCTTTTCCTGTAACATAAACTGTTTAACAGGATCTGTCAAGGAATGGACCTGGGGTATAGAGTGCTTAGTTCTTTAATGACGTGTCTAATACTGCTCAGTGCAGCACTTATGGACACTAAGTCCTCACTTTTATTCAAGATACATGAGCCTCACTCTGATAGTCTCTGTCACACACACCACCCACAAATGCAAAGTGTTATTTCCTAAGCATTATTACATCATCATTTTAGGGCTGGACATAAATTGCAAAAAGTTCACAACCAAAATCCCAGTAGTTCATATCAAACATGTTCAAAGTCCTGGGCCTTTTTCTTTTTGCTAGTGCACTACTATGCCTCCTGGTGGCGCAATGGGTTAAACTGCTGAGCTGCTGAACTTGCTGAACGAAAGGTTGGCAGTTCGAATTCATGGAGCAGAGTGAGCTCCTGCTGTTAGGCCCAACTTCTGCCAACCTAGCAGTTCGAAAACATGGAAATGTGAGTAGATCAATAGGTGGGAAGGTAATGACACTCCATGCATTCATGCTGGCCACATGAACTTGGAGATGTCTATGGACAACACTGGCTCTTCAGCTTAGAAATGGAGATGAGCACCACCCCTCAGAGTCAGACAGAATTAGACTTAATGTCAGTGGAAACCTTTACCTTCACTAGTGCACTACCATACATTAAAACATAAAGAACTTTTTAGTTTTTGTTTTATTTTTTGTACATTATTCTTCCTTAACAAAATAAAAATACCAACAACATTTAATACACACACACACACACGAGTCAGATAGACAGATAGAGGCTGAGGGTATATCTACACTGAAGAATGAAGTTCGATAACGCTTTAATTGCCATGGCCTAATTTTATGGAATCATGGGAATTGTAGTTTGATGAGGCACAAGCACAGAGAAGGCAAAAGATCTTGCAAACTACAACTCCCATGATTCCATTTGGAATTTTCCTGCCTTAATACCCAACGTTTCTAGATGTAATTTAATAGTAAGAAACCTATGGGTTCCCATGGGTTTTAACATAATACAAGTCGCAAAGTCTGAACCACCAATTTTCCATTACAAAGGAATTGCTTAATTAACAATTTTCATTATTGTTTTCATCATTGTTATTCTTGACTCTGTTCCACATGATTGAGCAGAGCATATGCTTTTAGTCACTCAGAAAAACTATTCATGCAAAAAGTACAATGTGGAGAACGAAGAGACAAATTGATGCCTAATCTCCATTATACATCTCACATCTTCATATTGGAAACTTAACTATTTAAACTACCAGGGTGAATTCTTTAGCAGCATCATGTCTTGAAGACAGCAATACCTGACATTATGTTGAAGCTCTCTGAATCCATGATAAAGTCAAAAGATGTAGCACAAATCAATATTCCAATACATCTTTCAAATATTTCATAACACAGCCTCCCTCCTCCCCAATTCTTGGTTTCTTGGTTTTTAGGCCAGTTTCTGAGGTTATTTGGGGTACTGATTCAGAAAATTGCATTGAATAGACTGCATCTGCTCTAGTTTCTTAGATATGGTTATCATAGTTTTCTGTAGGTGAACAGGTGGTGACTGTCGTATCATATGATGTATATTATTTAACTTAAAAACTGGAGCTGATAGGGGGAAACTGGTGCCATTTTTGGAATCAGCAGGTCAAATATACCAAGAAACAGGACTGACATTTGATGCACCAAAAAGTGTATTGGCCAGTATGACATACGCTTACCATTTTAGCAGAGGGTTGTAATAAACATAATCATTAATTCATTAGTCTCCTAAATATTATCAATGTGTCATTAATAATTCCATCATAAGTGTAATTATTGGAGTCCCCAGTGGCACAGTGGGTTAAACCCCTGTGCTGACAGGACTGAAGACCAACAAGTTGCAGGTTCAAATCCAGGGAGAGGCGGATGAGCTCCCTCTATCAGCTCCAGCTCCTCATGCGGGGACATGAGAGAAGCCTCCCACATGGATGATAAAAACATCAAAAATCATCTGGGCGTTCCCTGGGCAACGTCCTTGCAGACGGCCAATTCTCTCATACCAGAAGCGACTTGCAGTTTCTCAAGTCGCTCCTGATACAACAAAAAAGTGTAATTATTGACATTCCTTTGTGAGTTATCATGTCAAAAAATACCTTAGAACTTTATCACTAAATCTACAAAGTTGTTGACATCTTCTGAAGTTGTCCTAAAATTTGCCACTCTAAAATTTGCTGATGAGACAAGTTATAGGATCCTAATGATCCTATGAACACATACAAGTTTGAGAGTATAATTAATTTTCTCTGTAGAGCAAAAGGCAACTTGTAAACCTGAAACAATGTCAAGAATTCAGTACTCCCCCGCCCCCCGCAAAAAAAAATACATTCAGCTTAATGTAATAAAGATACCAATTTCTGCATTCCTCATTTATTGTCTGTTAGAGCTGTAGTTAAACTACAAATATGACCCCACTGTTGTATTTACTCTGCTTTATGACACAATATCATTTTCACCCTTCCTTTGAGTATTATTAATAATGTGCCTAAATCTAATTGTTAGTGTCTGTTAGCCTAGACTCAATAAATCAGCGGGATCTTGGTAAATCAATACTTGTCAATTAATGAATGAATACCATGTATTATATTAACACTTAGGAAATAATTAATAACATTCATTGCATTTAATCAATGCTGAAGTATATTTTGCTGACTCAATGGGTCTGATCTACTGGGACTAACAATTGTATTAAGGACTTAGTTTTATATTCAAATGTTAGTATTTTTAACTGCAATATCAGAATCAGAAACTGCAATAAAAAACTTGTAAATTTCACAACTTATGGGAATAGCTGTCTCGTTTTACTGTAAAGTTTAATAATCTCTTGCTTGTTTTCCTTGCATAAAACAGGAATTAAAAAAAAAGTTCCTGGGACGTTTTGACTTTTTTCCTGTGCTAAAGCACTTTGAGGTTCTTATTCAAAAAATGCTATATCCAAGAAAAAATATATAACAAATGCTTGTTATATCTGAATATGCGCATCTTACTAAAACAGATGACAGTAGTTGAAGCAGGTAGATTTAGTGCTAATCAATCACAGTAATACAATGTATAGGCAAAGAAAGCATATGAATATAAACATTTGAAAGGGATCTCTTTTTGGAAGGCCTGTTGGACTGTATTCAGTATTTTCGGTTTGGCCAAAATAAATGAAGTTTGTGAACTGTGAAGCTCATGAGTTTATTCTCTTGTTCTGCTGGTTGAGATCCAATGCATATTTCATCTGCAAGGAAATAAAGTTGCTGGATCAACCTTCGGAGGACACAAGCAAGTACCTAATGGTTTGCTTAGGTAGGATTAATCTTAAAAGAATTCTTCTTCCTTTTCTATACAGTCAACTTATCCACCATTTTATCCTCTACTCTTGCTTCGAGGATAGGCGAGCTTTTCTTTTTTTTAACATTCCAGTAGTACTGTTTCGCTTAAGAGAAGATAAAAATGATCAAACAGACTGTTTTCTTGAAGACATAAAGAAGATCCTTCACTTGTTCTCACCCTCCATTTGTTTTGCACACAAACACACACACAGAATTTATATAGCCACTCCATTTCCTTTTAATCTTTTTGTTCCAAAGATGTTCTTTCTTAACAAGATTTTGATAGGTAGTATTACAGAATCCTGGGAATGGTTTATCTGTACCGGAGCCCCTGATGGTGCAGCGGGTTAGACCGCTGAGTTGCTGAACTTGCCAACCGAAAGGTTGGTGGTTCAAATCCAGGGAGTGGGAGATATCTCGCTGTTAGCCACAGCTTCTGCCAACCTCGCAGTTCAAAATCATGCAAATGTGAGTATATCAATAGGTGCGGCTCCATGCAGTCATGCCACCCACATGACCTTGGAGGCATCTACGGACAATGCCGGCTCTTCGGCTTACAAATGGAGATGAGCACTACCCCCAGAGTCAGACACCACTAGACTTAATGTCAAGGGGAACCCTTTACCTTATGATTTATTTGTGATGCCCCTTTCCTTAGAGATGTTTTAAAATTATTGCCCACCTCCCCAAGTTTCACTGATCTTTATTATGCTTTCTATTTTATTTTGGAATGTTGCCCTGCATTAAAATTGGAAAAGTTCACTTTCTATCATTTTGAATGACACTTTCCCTTCCCTATGTGTTCCACATAATCATTATAAATTATGAATAAGTAATCAAATATGGACGAATTCAACTTTTTTCTTACTCACATTAGCCATGTGTATAAAACAGCTGTGATGCAGCATAATAAACTAAGGTGTGATCCTCCAAGTAATCCCAGAATGGAGCAGAGCATCCATATCTTACATTTTAGCTACTCTTAATAATTGAACACAATATGAATATTAAACTTTCACCACAAATTTTCATATTCATGTTATTTATAATTAAGAGTTCCACATTTAGATTGGGCTATTTAATAAAAATATGGCTTAACTACAAACAATAGGCAAAGGATGATAATATTTTCTCCCTCATGGGCATTGTTTCTTTGGTTACATTGCCATGTAAACAATTAACAAGATGCATGGTTTCAGAACCATTACTTTAGCTTGAAGGGAAACAGGAAGGCTTTTAAAATCTGGATGACTGTTTAAGCATATTAACATATTCCTTTAAATTATTTCTGTCAAGATGATGCATCACACAAATAAACCCCATTTAGTTTTATTTTTACTACAAAATAAATATCCATACATGCATTCTTTTCATCCTAAAACACTCAGGTTTTAAAGTAAGGTATTTAAGTGCTCTGCATAATCTCTTTAGATGTTTAGAAGCCATATAGTTAGCTATATTCAGGACTTAATAAAGACCCTTGAAGGTAATGGTTCTAACTGTTTGAGCCTCCAGATGTTCTGAATCTCATCTCCCATAACAAAGGCTCCATCCACACTGACCATTTAGTTTGGTGTACAGGAGGAACAGCCCTTCAGCAGCCAAACACACATGGGGCTGACTTGGGGTAACACAGGGGAAGGCTACTTTAATGTGGCCTTGCCACACATCAGATACAAGTTGAGGTAAATCTGAATTCTGCCACAGAAATTGGGCTTTCCTCAGGCTTAGGAATTGTTAGGACAGTTGGGCTGGTTCCCAAAATAAACTGTCAGCAACTGTTCCCACTGTCATCCTGTGTTTCCTGAGGCTGGGCACCCTTGAGACATGGGATGATAGTCCCCTTCCACCACCCTCTGGCTATGATATCAATGGACAGGTAGAACCTGTGTCGTGATCAGAGACTGTCACAACAGGGGAGACAGTGAGGGTGGCCACTGAGTGGTGCAGTGAGGACTTGCTCCCACCTCCCTAGCATCTGTGTGAGTCGCTGTGTGGCCCATGCCCAGGGCCAACCCAGCATTCGGCAAGTTAGTTTGGCTATGGGTTATGTGTTTGTGTAGACCTGCTCAAGGACTAACAGTTGATCCACAACTTTAAGGAGATGAAACATTAGGAAGTAACTACAACAAATATTAGTCAATGATGTTGAGCACCATTCAAGAGCAGAGACTGTGACAACTCCACTCCCACTTGAGAGGCAGAATTTTAATTTTTAAAAAATATATAAATAACATTTTATATCATTGGTCCATAATATTTATAATTATAGTGGAATTCTTCTTCATGACTATCCTTTAGAATGTAAATTATTATTGCTCCTATACTACATAAAGAAAACCCAGTCAACTGTGCATGGCAGATGTAATGAGCAGTCTCGGCTCCAGTACGCACTAACATATGTATGAGCAGGGAATGCCAAATCTATTTAAATGGGAAACACCATGCATGGATTCGTTGACTAACATTGTAGCTTATAGGCATTTTTACTTCTATATTCACAATCAACTTGTGTGATAAGTTGCCCTGATATAGCTGACTGGCTGAAAGGTCACCTATAGCTGAGCAGGACTTTGAATCGCATTACATTTATGTCTATCATGCTGTACCAAATAAAAGAAGTCATCATATGGGGTATTGTAAAGGTTCCCCAGGTAATAGCATGTAAAAATACTTGGATGGTTCAAACAGGTGAGCAAATATACTAAATTTTATTATTGTCATTGAGACAATATTATTCATCCACAGCCAGAATTCAGCTGAACTAAAATTTCTAATTTCCTAGATTACCATCAGGCATTACCTATGAAATGACACCAGTTTTCAATGATGATATAGAAGGAAAATCCAAAAGAAATTATGGCCAGACGCTTTTTCAGTAGAAGTCCCGAAACATTTTATTTGAATTAAACTCATACATATTTAGTATAAGAAAATAATTCTTAAACACTGTTTTTGAATACAGGAGCCATGGGGAGTAAGGAATCCAGCAAGTGCTTGCTTACAGCCTCTGAAAGCGAAGTTGATCCAACAACATCACTTGCCTTAGAGATGAAATATGCACTGGATCCCAACCGGCAGATCAAGAAAAGAAACAAAGCCCTGCAGGTGAGATTCAAAGACATCTGCGAGGCTCAAAACGAGCAGAGGGACAAACAACTCTCTACCTTACAACAAATGGATAAAAAAGAAGCAAAGTCTCTCTCTTACAGAGCAGCTTACCGGAAATATATGACAGTGCCTGCCCGGAGATCAATCCCTAATGTTACTAAAAGTACAGGAGTTCAGACTTCGCCTGAACTTAAAAAGTGTTACCAGACATTCCCTTTGGACCGGAAAAAGGGAAGCATCATCAAAAGCATAGCTTCTGTTGATACTTTCCCCAGTCAAAACAATGGATTTTTAATAGATGTTAAAGATAAGGACAGCACCATCTCAGGGGAGGCTGCTCACTGTAGCAAGAAAGTCACTGGATTTGTGACAGCGGAGTTTATTTCACATACTAATGAACGCATGAATGCAATAGAGCAGCCTTCTAGTGACAACTGTTCGGAGACATGTAGAAGCACTGATTTGCACAGCTGTACTAAAGAACCTCCTTCTCTTCAAAACTCAGCAGCTTCTGTTTTAGAAGAGCCTGATTACCAGCTGCATGACAAAGCAAAACACCACACTGGGCTGTTGGATAGTGAGGAGGCTAATCTATCGACCCATGGAAAAGTCTTCAAGACAGAAGTAGCTTCTGTCTACTTGCCTGCATCCAGTTCACACGCCTCACAGACTGACCTGCAAAATTCTGCAGCAGCAGGGAATGACTGGTCTCTGTGTCCAGCCGAGGAGGACAAAAAAAGAACAGTGCATCTTAATGGTCTGCAATCACAAGCCGTAAGTGCAGCTCAGGCCTGCTCAATGCAGGCACAGTGCCAATCAACCGAATGTAATGAACAGACCCTTCAGATACATGTGTCACCTATGGAAGGAAAACAGCCTTGTCAGACAGCAGTTGCTGTGAGTGAAGGATGTCAACAAATCGTGCCTCACACAGAAGTGGTAGACTTGAAAGCACAGCTGCAGATGATGGAGAACTTGATCAGCTCAAGTCAGGAAACCATCAAGGTCTTGTTGGGTGTCATTCAGGAACTGGAAAAAGGAGAAGCTCACAGAGAAGGGTAAGCTGATTTTGGAATCTTTCTTATGTACGATAATCTCATTTGTTAATTCATATGCATGAATTTTGCTAAGTAATTCACAGTTTCAGCTATAGCTTTTTGCCCTAACACTGTTATTCTCAAAAGTGTCAGAATTGCTATAGCAGTAGATTTATCTGCATCTGCGTTATGTTGCTGTATTAATTTGGATTATTTTGTTGAAATAATTATTCTCGATTCACTACCTTACATGCAATACATAATTCATTGCTACTTGACACTAGCATTCTAATGCTGTAATGACCTTCACTCTGTTTCATTTTGATTCTAATACACACATAATACCTTAGTTTTTAATGCAACTGCTGCTAAAAAGCATGCCATAAGCAACATAACTACTTTCAAAGAATACTAACATTAAAAGATAATTGTTTTGTATATTCTTCTTACATCACAGGGTAATTTTAAAGCTAGCAATGTCAGTGTCACTGGGGTATCCAATAAATCTCTGCTTCACTCCTTAAAAACAGAGGAAGGCAGATAGGAAACTAAATGTTAAAATCAAACAAAATATATAGCAATGTCATCCAGCTAAAATGGAATGCAGAGAATATTTCATATATGTTGTCCTGCTTTTGTTGTGTCATTTTCTGTAGATGTGTTACTCGGTTCTATTTGTACAGGCATAGCTATTTACTGAGAGTCAGCTAATTAAGCCTTTATCCAATAATTGCAACTTTTGTGCTTTTGGCATCTCACGAGCATTCTCCTCTTTCACCCCTTTAAAGATGCATTGTCGTCATTTGCCAGTTAATTCAATAGTTGCAGTCTGGCATACATACACTTTTCAGATTAATGACTGTGTGCTTCCAACACCTCCATACTTTCCAACTGCTTTGCATAGCCTTCATTTCTCCCACTCCTGTAAACATCACCCTTTGACTCCTTCAACTGCTCTGAAATTATCAATATGCTTTGTTCATAGCTCCTGGTGCTATTCTAGTCCTATGTGAGCAACTAAGCAGTGTATACATTAAACATAGAATCCTTTGCAAAAAATGGAAACAAGTTGTTCTCGGGAATAAATTTATGAATATATTAACAAGATAGTCCAAAAGTTTTACAACATTTATTTCAATTCAAATCCTGCAGTATTCAGGAAGCTGAGATCAGGTACATAGTTTTACTCACAAAAATACTAATTCCAGCTGCTTGTAGTTTTTAAAATGTGGATATTATTTCTTCACATTCTATGTCAATAATGATTTATTGATTTTAATTGATTCAATGTCTCATCAGGAGAAATGCTGTTAAATTTTTCAGAAAATCTGAAGACAATTTGCTTTGGTACCAGTAAGATCAACCAAAAATGTGAGAACTAGTTTGGCTTTAGTGATTTATCCACTTACCTGAAAACAAGACTCACTGGACTAAGTGTCATTATTTTGCAATGCATATGATATGTATATGTATATGCACACACACACAATACATACACACATATATACACACATACACTATACACACACAGGATTGAACTATTGAGCACTAAACATAATACCCACACATTTTTCTTATAAAATGTTTCTGTTTTTTTAATAATAGAAACATGATTTGTTCAACAGGAATTCATCAGATGAGGAAATTTGATGTTCTTTCACCACAATCTCTATCACAACTCTGATCATGCTATAGAAGTGTACATTTTAAAGTTAGCCTTATTGTGATCAATTTAGTCGTGTGATGGAAGATTCCCAAACTGACCATCTGCATGCGCAAAGTAAATTAGGTGATTTAGCAGTGATCAAATAATACAACAGCATTGAAATTACTGCAATTGCTTCTTCATAATTTGAATTTTATTGCAGTGGTTCTCAACCTGTGGGTCCCCAGATGTTTTGCCTTCAACTCTCAGAAATCCTAACAGCTAGTAAACTGGCTGGGATTTCTGGGAGTTGTTGGCCAAAACACTTGGGGACACACATGTTGAACACCACTGGTCTAAAGTATTCTGTAAAATATTAAAGCTGACTTTTGTAATTCTAATTAAAGAATTAAGCTTAAAAGATCTTCCAGATGAATAATACTGTTTCTAATGATAATATTTCTATATTATGATGATGATGCCCAGACACAATCTTCTGCTAATAGATACAATAAAATTACAAATTGCAAACTTTGAAACACAAATTTTAACATGTGAACTGCTTAAAGGGGGCAATCAAATTGTATAATAGTTTAAAGAAGTGTCAAAATAAATTGCATGCCCATAGACAAAGTTAAGGCATTCCAGATCCTGTCTATAAACCAACAAAACCCTCATGGACTTCTGCCAAGATACTGCCGAAGGAGAAGCTGTGGCACTATGATTAAGAAGGCCATATCTCATACACTACCAAATCAGTAGTTCAGCATGCCTTTATCTCTATCTGAGGTCCCTTCCACGCAGCTGAATAAAATCCCACCTTATCTGCTTTGAACTGGAATATATGAAAGTGTGGACTTATCACCCAGTTCAAAACAGATGTCGTGGGATTTTCTGCCTTGATATTCTGGGATATAGGGCTGTGTGGAAGGGCCCTGAGGTATAGAGAACAGAGTTTTCAGGATACTTCCTAAAGTTTATTTATTTACTTATTTATTTACTTCATTTATATACAGCTTTTCCCAGCCCTTGGGCGACTCAAAGTTCTGTATGGAAACAGTCTGTCTTTAAATTCAAGGATATTGCTGGACTGCAATGTGTATTATCTTTCATGGTGGACTATTCTGGCTAGGGCAAATGGAAATAACAGACCAACATCTGGGAGGGAAAATTACTTAGCCTTCATGTAGACCTTTGGAAGATGAAACCAATCAACAAAAAATGATTTGATGGAAGATTAGAGGGACATGTAAACTATTTAGTACTATAGTTCTCCTTACCCCTCCCCCTTTACGTACAATCACAGTACCGGCAAATACAAGCTGACAAAGATATCACAGCTTACAACATCTGGATGAATGCAGAAACGAGGTTATTATCTGTCAAGCCTTTCTGGTCAAGACATTTTTATAACTGTGGTCCCATTGCCAAATGAGTGAAGGGGGGCATTCCCTAACTGATAAAAGAGAAATGGCTGATCTTCACTAAATGTTACGTTGTTGTTGGTTAAGATGATTAAACCACAGAATTTCCTTAGCAAGATTTATTATGCATCTGAAGACTAATTAAAAACAACCTGACAAGGAGCCAAATGCAACTCCAGTGAGAAGGAACTTCACAGATGAGCCATTATTAACTTGTGGTCATGGAACTTAGGGGTTGGCTTGTGAAACAACTTCTAGGACTGAAAATAGAACTTGGACAGTACATTATTGGTATTTTGTACAGGTTTTTATATATACAGTAGTTTGCAAAGTGTGTTAAGAGTTAGGAGTTAGACAGGAATAACCTGATTTGTTTTAGTTATTAACACAGGGATGATAAATGGGACAATAGAATAACGGGAATGATATTTTTCAAAACAAAAATGGGAAAGCAATTAAAGATTTAACATCCCACGTAGACTTATACATTTATGGAAAAGTTAGAATAAAACTGCAAAGACAATCTACAAAATTAAGTAAAACTAACATGTTTGGACTCACCAACCCATTACACAGAGCAACTGATATCAGATGCCAATGCCGATTCTGCCTGAGTATTACTGCTAAACACAAATTCTGGGAAATTTCAGTTTAAAAAAGAATGTTATAGTTAGTAAAAGACCCCAAAAGTACCATTATTTCTGTACAATTCTGATAACTTTAACTGTTTGTTTCCACTTTAAAGTAATTAAAACATTTGACTTACTGTACCTTTAAAACATTTTTGAAAAGCACCACTGGCTGGTTGCACAAAATACACTCTCCTCCTATATGAACTATATTATAAAATTGCACATAATTAAACATGTTTAGTTCACCACATTAGCAGTGTATTCTTCACCAATGCTTAGGTTTAGAAGAGAGCCAATGTGGTATAGTGATTTGAACATTGGGTTAGAACATTGGGAGACCATAGGCTGAAGCCCACTGTCTGACTCTTCAAACTCTTTCAGCCTCAGAAGGAGAGAAAGGCAACCACCCTCTAAACCAGTGGTTCTCAACCTGTGGGTCTCCAGGTGTTTTGGTCTACAACTCCCAGAAATCCCAGCCAGTTTACCAGCTGTTAGGATTTCTGGGAGTTAAAGGCCAAAACATCTGGGGACCCACAGGTTGAGAAAAATTGCTCTAAACAACCCCCATGATGGGTTTGACATAGGATCTCCATAAATCAGAAATGAAGGCACACAATAACTAGGATTAGATGGTTGGTGTTGTATTTGGGAGTGAATCTGATAGTGTTTAGAGCTGATAAAACAACAGAGAAAGGAGACCCAAACAGCAAATGAAGAATGTAGATAAAAAATGGCATTAGCCAAAGTGATTTCACAAAATAAGAGGATTTTGTGGTTATTGTGCAGTTCCACAAATGACTCCAGCTCCCCAGCTCATCTCTACTGTGCTGGCATTTTAGTCTGATGAGAGTGGTGCATCACTCATCCTCCACCTGGGTCTAAAGAAGAGCAAAAGCTTTACTCTCGCTTCTCACCTATTTTTGGAACTTAGAATAACACAGATGGCACATACAAACATTTCTAGATAACAAGATGAAGCACTTATGTGAGGACTGATGGCTAAAGTGAAACAATACTCCAGTGGGATTATTATTATCACAGCATTGAGTTGGCTGCTAAGGGTAGATAATATATATGTTCCTAGTTATTGTGCCTAGAATGAAAAGTTGTTTTTGCATGTAAAGTGGACAGGCTCACCTCTTATGGAGAAAGTCAAGCTAACAAACACTAATGTGAAGGTGTTTTTTAAAAAATTGCATCCACATTAATATTATTCCTTCTTAATACTTCTCATTTGGAGGAATATATTAAGGTCATAACAAATTTTTATCTTTTGTTGAAGGCTTTCATGGTCGGAATCACTGGGTTGCTGTGAGTCCT